ACGACTACTCTCTGTGTTCTGTTAGTGAGGAAATTATAGATCCATCGACCGACTTGGAGTGGAGGCATAACTGAAACTCGCTCGTAACTTGGATTTTGGCTTGCAACTCAAAGCAAAAAATCAACAGAGTGACGGCTCATAACTCAGAAAACTCATAAATTGGGGAACACGTAAGTCAAGGTACCACTGCACTCGTTTACCGATGACTCTGACTTATGATAGGCTCTCTGACCAGTATGCATACCTCTATTCTGTTTATTACAATATACATGTACAGTAAACTACTGTATAAACATTTACAAATATACCAGAAACGTTATAAATGGTGCAATGGTTGACATCAAAACAATATCAAAGATGATTAACACAAACCCACTACCATTATAGTATGTTCCTCACTTAGCAGCGAATTCGTTTACCGACGAGGTCTCAGGAACGAAACTCCTTCGTTAAGTGAGGAGAGGCTATATAATAAAAAATGAAGCGCTAAACCAAAAAGGGTCACACAGCGGCCTGCTAAGTAACGCTCTCACATCACACACAGCGTCCGTGGTTCAATCCCCAGCCAAGTGGAAACACTGGGTGTGTTTCTTTACATCTGCTGTCCCTGTTCACCTAGCAGTAAGTAGGTACCTGGGTGAAAGTCAAATGGTGTGGGTGGCATCCTGGGGGACAAGATTGAAAGATCACAATGGAAATAAGACAGACAGTCCTCAATGTCACCTTGACTTTCTTGGGTTATCCTGGGTGGCTAACCCTCCAGGGTAAAAAATCCAAACAAAATCCTATCTCATCCTATCTTAAGTGTCAGGTAAAGACGTGGATTTATCCTATTAATACAGTGGTACCCCAAGTTTCAGCCATAATTCATTCCAGAAGGCTGTTCGAGTGCCGTTACCGAACGAATTTGTTCCAATAAGGAATAATGTAAATTAGATTAATCCGTTTCAGACCCCCAAAAGTACACTTACAAAAGCACTTACAATAATACACTTACACAACTGTTCGAGTTGGGAGCTGTTCGAAACTTGCGGTACCACTGTACATTTTAAGTCCAAGGACCCCATTGGAAATAAGTCACTTTGACTTTTTTGGGTTATCTTAGATAATTTATACTATGTATGATAACTGTATTTAGGTATACCTTATTTAAATAAACTTTTTTACTTACTAAAGTAATTTTAAGATTGGAATACTTGGTCATAAAAGAATAAACAAGCAAAATTGTTCACTTTCAATTACAGTGGACCCCCGGCGTTCGATGGCATCGGTATACGTTAAATCCGGTATACGATACATTTTAATGCAAAAATTTTGCCTCGCCACTCGCTAAAAACCCGCCACACGCGATTCGTCCGGGACATGTCCACATGTGGCCTGAACTGCCCCGTGCGTGCCAGTGTTTACAAGCCAGCCAGTGTGCTCGCATCAAAGCATACATTTGGTACATTCCATATTATCACAGTGTTTTTGGTGTTTGTTTCAGCAAAGTAAGTCACCATGAGCCCCAAGAATGCTTTTAGTGCCAACCCTGTGGTAAAAAGGGTGAGAATTAGTATGAAAATTAAGAAAGATTTTGAAGGGTTTGGGGCTAACCCTGAGAAGCCTATGCCAGTTGTGGAATCCATTGTGCCTACTTCAAAAATTAAGAAAATGTTTGCAAAGTGGGTTGAACTGCAAACCTTTATGAATGAAAATCACCCTAACAGAGCTATTGCAAGCCGTGCTGGTGACTATTACAATGACAATGTTGTGGCCCATTTTAGACAAATCGTAAAGGAACGGGAGGTACAGAGCTCTATGGACAGATTTGTTGTGCGACAGAGGTCCAGTGACTCTCAAGCTGGTCCTAGTGGCATTAAAAGAAGAAGGGAAGTAACCCCAGAAAAGGACTTGCTACCTCAAGTCCTAATGGAAGGGGATTCCCCTTCTAAACATTAACAACTTCCACGCTCTCCCCTTCTCCCATCCCATCAATCATCACCAGATCTTCATTAAAGGTAAGTGTCATGTATTCTATTGTTAGTAGAGTACTACAAACTGTGCATGTCTTCTTCAGTTTGTGTGCATTAAACTTAATATTTCATGTGGTAAAATTTTTTTTTCATACTTTTGGGTGTCTTGCATGGTTTAATTTGATTTCCATTATTTCTTATGGAGAAAATTAATTCGCCTTCCGATAATTTTGGCATACGATGAGCCCTTAGGAACGGATTAATATCGTATACCGGGGTCCACTGTATTATTATTATATTATTATTATTATTATTATTATTATGTTTCTCACAATTATATCACATAAATGTTAAACCTAAAACCGAATCTAACTTTATTATTTTTTAAATACACTACCTAACAGAATCCTTCATATGACTGAATGCAACCATATGACCTGTCTTTGTAATACTCACTTGTGCTTTATAGTAATCTGTTTACATTAATGTTTTATCACTGACTTCATCATTGCTTAGTTAATCTTAAGTTAATTTTAAGCCAGCCCGTAATGCTATGCATAGTATAAGTGGCTTTGGCATGCTGCTCTTATCTGTATTTTTTTGTACCTCTGTATGTGTGCTCAAATTTATAATAAATAAATAAATAAATAAATAAAATTATTATTATTATTATTATTATTATTACATATTATTATTATATTACACATTATTATTATTATATTACATATTATTATTACATATTATTATTACCATATGTTCATGGGAAAGTTATAAACCCATAAGGGTCATAAACACTCCACAGCAAAAGTAGACAGGATATCAGAGAAGCTGAAGCACAGCAGGGATGTCAGCAGGAGTCAGCAGCAATGGTATAAGCAACAGGGATGTCAGCAGTAGTGGTATAAGCAGTGAGAATGTCAGTAGTAATGATATAAGCAGCAGGGATGTCAGCAGCAGTGGTATAAGCAGCAGAGATGTCAGCAGCAATGATATAAGCAGCAGGAATGTCAGCAGTAGTCAGCAGCAGCAACAGCAGCAGCAATCAACAACAGTTATAGCAACACAAGGCTAAACACCATTTGTCAGTTGAAACCAAATCACAAACCAAATTCAACATCAAATTTCCACAAATCACACAATGTAATTTTTATTTAGGTTCTCAATACATAAAAAAACAGAATGCTCCTGATGGCACAAATTATAGGCCAATAAAAAGTGATGATTTAGTTGTATGACCCTTGTAGGTCTGGTGCTTAGTTTTGATTGTTATATATGAAGACTTAACCTAGGATAACCCGATGAAGGTGCTGTGGAAGTCGAGGTCTGATCTGAGGAAGCGGAGGAAGGCTCAAATTTCCCGAATCAAAATATAAGTTATAATTAATCTGCGAATCACAAAAAAAAAATGACAACGTTTGACAATTTAGCTACGGTAGACCCTTGGATATTGGCTGTTCCGGATATCAGCCAATTCGGATTTTGGTCGCTTTTTTGGACGAAATTCTATCCTGGATTTCGGCTGGCAACTCGGAAATCGAGTGTATTGGACACGTCCACCCGCCACTCCGCCGCATTCATGAGTCAGTCAGGCTGCGTCTCTGGGTGAGTGAGCAAGACTCCCTGACCCTGTCAACCCTCTGCCTGTTGTGGAATGTATTGTGGCTTTGGGGAAGTCCAGGGGGTTGGATGCGAGTGGCCAGATGTGGAAGAGTTGATCGATGACAACAGGGAAGAGCTAACCACTGAAGAGCTGCAACGCCTTCAACTGGAACAGCAACAGATCGCAGATGAGGAAATTGCTTCAGAGAGGGAGGAAGAGAGAGGGAAAAATGTGCCTTCTTCAGTGATTAAGGACATTTGTGCTAAGTGGAGTGAGTTGCCAAGTTTTGTGGAGAAATGTCACCCTGACCAAGCTGAAACAAGCCATATCTGCAACATGTTCAGTGACTAAACCTTGTCCCACTTCAGGCAAATCTTAGAGAGACGCCAGAAACAGACCTCCCTGGACAGTTTTTTTTGTGCGACAGGGGTACAGTGACTCTCAAGCTGGTCCTAGTGCTAGTAAAAGACACAGAAGGGAAGTAACCCCAAATAGGGACTTGATACCTGAAGTTCTTATGGAGGGGGATTCCCCTTCCAAGCAATAACCCCAAATCTGTCTCCCCTCCTCGACTTCTTCAATATGCCAACAAGAGTCGTCAATAAAGGTATGTAATGTTCATTTATTAGTAAAAATTTCTTTCTCAATGTTTTGTGTATGTAAAACTATAGTTAATCTGCAAAAAATGTATTTATTGTTAATAATTTTGGGTGTCTGGAACAGATTAATTGTATTTACTACATTAATTCTTATCGGCCTTTTCGGATTTAGGCCGACCTTCTGGAACAAATTACAGCCGATAACCGAGGGTCCACTGTAATTAGATTTTTATATAATTTCATATATTAATTACATACAATTAATAATATATTAAGATTAAGTGCTAAATCCGCAAGGGCTGTATAATTAACGAGTATGGTAGATAAACAGATTTTTCGACTCGATATGTAATTGATGCAGCCAATCATGAACCTATAACAAAACTCCATTATAGGCCTATAACAAACTGTATATAACTACCACCAACCACATAATCAACCCACAAAAAGACAGTCACCCCTAATAGACAATCACCCCTGATAAACTGTCACCCCAGATACACAGTCACTCCCAGATAGCCAGTAACCTTTAATAAACAATCACCCCAGATAGTCACCCCTGATAGACAGTCGCCCCTGATAAACAGTCACTCCTGATAGACAGTCACCCCTAGATAGTCCCCCAGACAGTTACCCCAGATAGTCACCCCTGATACAGTCACCCAGGCAGTCACCCCTAGATAGTCCCCCCAGTAACCCCAGATAGTCCCCCCAGTCACCCCAGATAGTCCCCCCAGTCACCCCAGATAGTCACCCCCTCCCGAGTAGACACCTCAGTTATAACACACATTACTGACCTATAACAAGTGCCTATAACACCACTATAACCCAGAGATAGATAATCACCTGTTCCTGAGTAGACAGCATTACCGTTGTCATCTCAACAGGAACTCCATCAGCCCGCCTCTGTTTACTGTTGTGCGCGCGCGCGAGCGAGCCAGACACATCCAGCCTAATGTAATTTTTTTTACAATTGTATTTTAAGTATTTTATTATGCAAAGTGACACACGAGGATTAAAATATAGGTTAATAAGTAAGTAAATTAAGCAAGTAAGTAAGTAAGTAAGTAAGTAAGTAAGTAAGTAAGTAAGTAAGGAAGTAAGTAAGTAAGTAAGTAAGTAAGTAAGTAAGTAAGTAAGTAAGTAAGTAAGTAAGTAAGTAAGTAAGTAAGTAAGTAAGTAAGTAAGTAAGTAAGTAAGTAAGTAAGTAAGTAAGTAAGCAAGTAAATGGGTAAATAAATAAATAAATAAATAAATAAAGTTTATTTCTTTGTAAAGGTTACAATGTGTAATTACAATTTTGATTTGCTAAGTACAAAGATACCCACTATCATGCCCAGGCATATCGGGCAAACTAATCCTAATACATAGTAACTAATTAAAACTAGTTAAGATAATAGTGTATAGTAATTATACTTAAAACTAAACATGGAATAGTAGTTAGCTGTTTTACAATCTTATTTGAACTTAATAAAACTTAAGTTAACTTAGTACAAAATCTAAGTTACAAGTAATGGTGCAGGTGGTAATATTTTATGAATTGGCAGAATTAAAAGCCAGAAGGTCACACAAGACTAATTATCAGATGTTTTGGCAGATTTGGTTAATATTGAGAAACAAAATGATTTTATGGATTGGCAGAATTAAGAGCCTAGAGATCACATGATAAAACTAGTCAGCAGATGTTTGGTTGATTTGGTTAATATTGTGAGATAAGATGATTTTTTAGCAAAGTCCTCAATTTATAAGTTTTCAGGGGATCCTTGACCTGTTCTGGTAGCCAGTTCCAGATCTTCGGTCCTTTTATGTGCATAGTTTTCTTGTATAGTGAGAGTCTTACTCGAGGAATGTTAAAAAGTGCTTTATGCCTTGTATTGTGGCTGTCCATTCTGTTGTAACAGTTAAGGAGAAGTTTTAGGGGAGGGTTTAGAGTGGAGTTTAATGTTCTGTATATGTAGTATGCACAATAATAAGAGTGTATGTCTTGTATATTTAGCAAGTTGAGTCTTTTGAAATGTGGTGGTGTGTGCTGTCTAGCCCAGGAGCTGGTTATCACCCACACACCAGCTTTTTTTTTTTTTTTTTTTTATTCGCCGGTATTCTCCCGGTCCGGGTCTTTTCCAAGTAGTGGTGACCCGGCCTTGGCTCCCTATCTGGGAAGTATCCCGAGACCTAAGTCTCCCATGGGAGGAGGTAGAACTACCCCCTCATCTTTGGGACCAACTGTCCCCAGGCCTAGCCACATTCCCCGCCCTCACAGGGCTCGTAGGGAGAAACTAGGCCTCTGGTCTGCCATCTACCCCGCCTCAAAGGGGCTCGTGGGGATGGCAGTCTTATGAGCTGCAGGTGGTAACAAGCTCAGGCCTCTTATTAGCTTTTTGTTGGATTATTAAGGGTCTAAGGTGGTTGGCAGTGGTTGAGCCCCAGACACAGATACCATAGGTGAGGTAAGGATATATTAGAGAGTTGTACAGGGTAAGGAGAGTCATTTGTGGTACATAATAGCGTATCTTCGAAAGGATTCCTACTGATTTGGAAATTTTCTTGGCTATATGATGGGTATGGGACTGAAACTTAAGATTACAGTCAAGGAGAAGACCTAGAAATTTGCCCTCCGTGTGTCTTCATATAGGGGAACCATTTAACAATATGTTGAGTTGAATATTTAAGGCTGTGTTGCCGAACAGCATGAAGTATGTTTTATCTATGTTGAGAGTGAGCTTGTTAGTCATCATCCAAGTATATATCTTTAGCAGTTCATTGTTTACTGTGTTTCTAAGTACAGTTGGGTCTGAATGGCAGTAGACATATGTAGTGTCATCAGCGAATAGAACTGGTGTGGTAAGGTAAGACATAGGCAACAGTTAGGCAACTTTATTCCGAAACGTTTCGCCTACACAGTAGGCTTCTTCAGTCGAGTACAGAAAGTAGGCAGGAGCAGTAGAGATGTGACTGACAACCTCAAATCTACGATCTCAAGGTTTAGTTTTAGTTTAATATGTTTATTATGCACCCCATACCCATCCTGTGGGCGGTAGTCAAAAGATTACAGAGGTACATAATTGGTCCAGGGACTGGACTCCAAAGTTTTGATAGCTGAGCAAGTTACAGAGGTAATGAACTCACAATTTACAAAGGTAATGAACTCACAATTTACAAAGGTAATGAACTCCAGGTAGGTCTAGTCACAATCATGTCAAGTTACAAAGGTATTTACAGATTACAGAGGTACGTAATGGGTCCAGGGACTGGGCCCCCAAAGTTTTGATAGCTGAACTAGGTACAAAGGTAATGAGCTCACAAGATACAAAGGTAATGAATTCTGTAAGAATGGTTACTTACGTTTATACATGGCTACAATCATGAACAAATTATAGTGTAATGAGCAATTCACACTTCCACACCCGGTCACAACTGTAATGAGTTATTGGTGCAAATATTGATTGAGTCACACACCACACACACACACACACACACACACACACACACACACACCACACACACACACACACACTTTAGTTTAATATCTTTATTATGCACCCCATACCCATCCTGTGGGCGGTAGTCAAAAGATTACAAAGGTACATAATGGGTCCAGTGACTGGACCCCAAAGTTATGATAGCTGAACTAGTTACAAAGGTAATGAACTCCAGGTAGATCTGGTCACAATCATGGCAAGTTACAGAGGTAATGAATCAGCTTCACTCCTATACATGGTTACAGTCATGAACAAATTACAAAGTAATGAACCACTGATACGTCCACACCTGGTCACAATTGTAATGAGTTATAAATACAAATATTAAGTGGCCCATACACCCACACTAGCGCGCGCGCACACACATACACACACCAGGGCGCACGCACGGACATGTGCACACGAGCGTACAAATATATGCATACACACAAGGACGCACACCCACACACACACCCACACACACACCCACACACACACACACACACACACCAACACCCACACACACACCCTCACACACACCCTCACACACACCCTCACACACACACCCACACACACACACCCACACACGCACACCCACACACGCACACACACACACACACACACACACACACACACACACACACACACACACACACACACACACACACACACCCACACAAGTATTTCTTCAGTCATAGAGTTGTAAGGCAGTGGAATAGCCTAGAAAATGACGTAGTGGAGGCAGGAACCATACACAGTTTTAAGACGAGGTTTGATAAAGCTCATGGAGCGGGGAGAGAGAGGGCCTAGTAGCAACCGGTGAAGAGGCGGGGCCAGGAGCTAGGACTCGACCCCTGCAACCACAAATAGGTGAGTACAAATAGGTGAGTACACATGGTAATGCATTATTTACAGCTAGCAAAGTCAGGGTATTTCTCCAGAATGGTCTGCAATATACCACTGTGGATAAAATACTTTGCCATTTCTTGAACATTTCTGAGTGAGTTGTTTCTAAATTCATTAATTTGATCACACTCCAGTACATAATGACGCAGGGTGTGACAATAGTCCATCTGGCAAAGTTTACATTTCGTTTGGTCTACATCTGGTGGTGGTGATTTAACCTGCCAAAGATACTTGTAACCCAGCCGGAGCCGGGCAGTAGTGACATCCAAGAGTCTGCTTATTTTGTTGGATGCACCATAGACATGTGGCTCCTCCTGCATGATGGAATGATGATAGATGGAATGACTTGTGTCAATCTCCCTAAGTCTTAAGTCAATAAAGTTCATTTGAAGTTCTTTTCGTATTATTGTTCTCAAACTACTACCTGACAAGCCAAGATTGTAATCTACCCCCTCTTTGAAAGCATACAGCTTAGCCAATTTATCAGTTCTATCATGCATCTGAAGATCAATGTGAGATGGAATCCACAGCATGTGCACTCTGACTCCACTGTCCACAATCTTACCATACCTGTGTCTGGCTTCTGACACAAGCATGCCACAATTTATACTTAATGAGTTGAGAGCATTTATGGATGACAGAGAATCAGTTACAATTAAAGTGTCAACCTTAGATACATAGACACATTTGAGTGCAAGGAGTATGGCAAACAGTTCTGTTTGAAGGGTAGAGGCCCAGTTATTGATGCGTGCTCCAATTTCTTTATGAGAGCCATCACTCTGTGTGACAACAGCAGCACTACCAGCTGCACCAGTGTATGACAACAGCAGCACTACCAGCTGCACCAGTGTATGACAACAGCAGCACTACCAGCTGCACCAGTGTATGACAACAGCAGCACTACCAGCTGCACCAGTGTATGACAACAGCAGCACTACCAGCTGCACCAGTGTATGACAACAGCAGCACTACCAGCTGCACCAGTGTATGACAACAGCAGCACTACCAGCTGCACCAGTGTATGACAACAGCAGCACTACCAGCTGCACCAGTGTATGACAACAGCAGCACTACCAGCTGCACCAGTGTATGACAACAGCAGCACTACCAGCTGCACCAGTGTATGACAACAGCAGCACTACCAGCTGCACCAGTGTTTGACAACAGCAGCACTACCAGCTGCACGAGTGTATGACAACAGCAGCACTACCAGCTGCACGAGTGTATGACAACAGCAGCACTACCAGCTGCACCAGTGTATGACAACAGCAGCACTACCAGCTGCACCAGTGTATGACAACAGCAGCACTACCAGCTGCACCAGTGTATGACAACAGCAGCACTACCAGCTGCACCAGTGTATGACAGCAGCACTACCAGCTGCACCAGTGTATGACAACAGCAGCACTACCAGCTGCACCAGTGTATGTCGGCAGCACTACCAGCTGCACCAGTGTATGACAACAGCAGCACTACCAGCTGCACCAGTGTATGACAACAGCAGCACTACCAGCTGCACCAGTGTATGACAACAGCAGCACTACCAGCTGCACCAGTGTATGACAACA